TATAAAAGGTGCAAAAAAGGGGCAACTAATTATTAGGGGAATGGCTCCCTATAGGGGGAGATTACAAACCTGGGGGTCTTTAGATTGGAAAAGTGAATAAAGGGACGTATCCAAAGATACATATAATCTTGCATGGTTTAGATAACATGGAAGAGATTTTTTTGTTACAGAGTTAAAACTCAAGGTCATGTATTGAAACTAACTGCAAGACAAAAAGAAGGTAATATTTTCTCCATAGCACACAATTAAATTAAAAAACCAAGGGCAGTCGTTGGAAGTAGTAACAACTCCGAATTGAATAACTTTTTAAAGGGAACTGAATATCGGTTTATCAAAAACCATTAATATTGACCACTGTTTCCTGCTCCCTGAAGAGGCAGCAGAAATTATTATATTTTATTATTTTTTTAAAAAAAAAAATTATGCTGCCCATCTCTCCCATATAAGGTGACATTATATACTGGTTGTGCCAGAGTTTGCAGTAGAAATCACACCCAGAAAGCACACACAGATGACTGATTCAGCAGGATTCATTAATTTCTTTATATACATAATAACACATGAATAAATGTACAATACCAACAGCAGATTCTTCCAACATGGTAGAGAGGAGAGATTGTTTCAGTTCAGAGCAGACAAACTAATTTCAGTTTCAATTCTCAGTACAGCACTCAGAGCTGCAGGGCTAAACCACGCCCAGCTGGTTTAGCTCCAAGCTGTTTCAGCTCCCATTGGCTGACCTTGTTACCATGTCTCTGCCAGTCATGAATATTCTGACAGGTTGTTCTCAAACAACCAATATAAGAGGTATTTTGATTTATTACAGACTTGTGAGCTTCCCAAATACGACTAGTAGATCTTTGTGTGACACACAGAATGTTGGATTGGATGGGCCAACAGTCTGATCTGGCAGGACTCTTTTTATGCAATATGTATCTCTCTTATTACTATAGGGATTCAAACATCCCAAGCAACACCACATTTATCTAAGAAGGCTTAAAGGAAATTGATCACTTTTTATAGCATAGACAACCCATTAAGCATAAGATTCTATAATGCTCTAGGAAAATTATTCCTTAATACAAGAAAAAGAGAAGGAAAATTAGATATATAAGCATTACAAGCTTGTGGAGTTTTATTCTCTAAATATTTGCTACTTTGTAAAACTGTTTATGATTCCAAGGTTGCATTGAAAATGATAAATTGACGGCTGGGAGTTGCACTTAATGTTTTCGGGAGGAAAAGAACAAGGCACAGTGAAAAGGGAGATGAAAATACTAGGTGAGGCTGTCTTGCCATCATGCAAGTGGGATGATCTAGGTTTTCTCTCCCCCTTCTCCAGCTTTGGAGGCATAGTTTTGCTATTGTTTTAAGAAACTTAGTATATTATAAGGCATATTTAAAATATAAAACATATATTTGTTTTATGTTTTCCATCTAAGAAATGGTGCCGCCCAGAGTTGTGCTCGAAGATGGGTAGTCATACAAAACATTTAAAGAAACAAATATAAATAGTTGAAATCATATGGTCAAAGTGATGGATTTTGTACATGGCTTATGGGGAAACATGAGAAACTTGCTTCACTGATTACAATCAGTATCAGTATCCAACAAACTCAGTTTGCAGCTTTGACCCCATAAAAAGCCATCAAACCAGCTCTATCTCCCTAAAATATAGTCACCTTGAACTTAAGATGAGCAGGGAAGGGAGGAAGGGAGGGAGGAAGGGAGGGAGGGAGGAAAGATTTATGGAGGGAGGAAAATTAGGACTACAGCAGTAAATGAGCAGCTCAGCCAATTAAGTAGGGATGAAGAAAGTTTGTTTCCTTAAAAGCCGTCATTCTTTCCCTCCCAATATCTTACCTGTTCTTGTTTTCCAGTTCTGCTATCAGTTGCCTTTGCTGTTTGTTGGCATCAAAATTGAACCCCAGATCTATTGGTGGCCGTGTCTGGTGAAAAACAGGCAACATTTAAATATGCCGACTCAACTCTGCCTAGAGTATACAGAGACATACAGAGTTATGCTTCCATGGAAAACTCATGAAAAAGCTAATAAAACAATTCAGGAAAAGTTGCTTGGTTCCATGCTCACATTGTTTTGGTGAGCAGTTTTTCAACATCTGGCAAGAATGGCAGGAAAAAAATGTACACTGAGAGAATGAAGAAATTGACATGGTGGGAGAACATGGGATAGCTGGCCTTCTGGATCCTAAAATTTTCTCCTATTAGGGATACCCCATGATTCCTGATTCAATAAACTTTCAAGGCACTCTTCAATTCTTTTGTTTTTACTGTTCTGAATTGGGATGAAGCTTTTTCCTACAGGATGTTTCCTAAGGCAACATCAGACCCAATTAACTCAGTCATAAATGTGAGCTTTAATAGGGGGATGGATTTTTAAAATTACTGCTTATTACAGTCATGTTTGAAGAATGGTCACTATTACCCCTCAAAGTCTATATAGGAAAAAGAAGGGAGGACAAATTGTGCTCCAAACAGGTAAAAAAAGAACCAAAAATTAAAGATTCTTTCAACCACAAAGTATTTTACCTTCTTTTGAAAAGGTTTTCTTTTTTGGACTAGTTAATCTTTAGGGGGAAAAAACCTTTGAGTATACTTTGACCAAATATTCCAGCATGGCTTTCAACTATGCGACTCCCAATTCCCAAGGGTGAACAGGACTGAATCTGATGCAATCTAATGATTTTAACCAGAGGCACTCCCAGCATTAAATATTCTACCTGATACCCTGTAAAAACCTCAAAACAGTGAAGTGTTATCACATCTGCCCAGCCATATTCTAAGTCCCAACATTTAGCCAGCTAACTATAGCCAAGAATTAAACAAGATGATTGTTCCTCTTCCCTCATGTAACAAAACATTTTACAGCATTCTCCTCCAGATCACCTCAAGCAATAATTACCATCTTCCTTAATGGCATCTCTATTGATCCATAAGTATTAAGTCTCAAGCTTGATTTGTTACACAATGGCAATGTACACCTTTCAGTACCTATAGGCTATGCTGCACATATGAAAGAAACTTATGAAAACATGGAACTGTTGTTGAAGCATATACAGTACATCAAATGCAACTGTGGAAATCTATGAAAATCTAAAAGTAGTGGTTCTGCTCCTTGGAATGCAATTAGGATATACGGAGTTCTGTTATGAATACGTATCAGAATGGAACAGCCATGCAAGAGAGTCACATTACATTAACAAGAAATGGCCACTCTGAAAGATAGGACAGAAAAACGTGGCACATGAACTATTTATTGACTCAACAATGATATCTGTGCCTCCACCTCACATAAAAACTTGTACTGATGAAAAAGTTTGTGAAAATAAACAAGGAAGGTGAAAGTTTTTGTTATATGAGACAGATGTTTCTAAGAATAATGGATGTCAAGATCAAGAAAGGCATTTTTGTTGGTCCATAGATCAGATACATCATCAATGACAAACAGTTCAAAAATCTGTTAATAGGGTCAGGGAAAATTAGTTGGAAAGCATTCAAGGATGTTGTTGAGAGTTTCCTTGGCAACTACAGAGCACTAAACTACATTCAGCTGATTCACAAATTTCTTACAGCGTACAAGAAATACATGAAATGCAACGTATCACCAAAGATTCATTTTCTGCATTCACACTTGGACTTCTTTCCCAAAGATTTACATGCAGTCAGTAACAAACATGGCGAAAGGTTTCAACAAAATATTGTCATAATAGAAAAATGGTATGAGGACAACTGGAACCCATCAATGCTGGCTGACTATTGGAGTGTGGTAAGATGCACCAGACATTGAGTACAATAAAGAATCAGCAAGTAAAGCACTTTTAACCCTGCTGAACTCATGCAATGTGCAATGTGTTGCAAACATAGCATTAATAGTCATTAAAAAGTAATGTCATATTTCTCATGATTCCTATATGTTACAATCTGAAATTATATTTGTGTTCAGTTTGAAGTAGTGTATCCTAATCACCAAAGGTTTTTCAGGAAACAAAACTTTTGAGGAAAAAATGTTGTGCATTGTTAGCAATTAAAAATTTACTAATAATCAATTAAAATGTGATTTTGTGGAAACACCCATCCTTCTCTTAAATCTTAATTTAGAGATATGCGTCATGGCATATTTCATTTATACCTCTAGTTTACGCAGGCAGTTGTTGCAATCTGCTCAGGAAGAATTGAGGAGCTGATAAAAATAGAAAGCATCGATCTTCTTGACTCACTGAAGGACACCGATCCTCAAGAGGTGAGAAGTGGCACTCATATTCAAGAGCATACAGAGTCACATGTAAACATCTCCCATCTCAGGTCACATATTGCTCAGTGACACTCAAGGCAACCAAAAACATAAATCAGTTGGAAAATGACTTTGGGTGCTACTATTTCTAAACTTGCCAGCAAGAGAATGTAACAGAATATTAATAACAAAATAACAAAGTTGGAAGTGACCTTGGAGGTCTTCTAGTCCAACTGTCTGCTCAAGCAGGAAACCCTATATTTTTACACAAATCGTTTTCTCAATCTCTTCTTAAAAATCTCCGGTGATAAGAGCACCCACAACTTCTGGAGGCAAATCATTCCACAGATTAATTGTATGGTCAGGAAATTTCTTTTTCATTTTAGGTTGGTTCTCTCCTTGATTGGTTTCCATCCATTGCTTCTNGTTTCCTGCCTAGGCAAGGGGTTGGACTAGAAGACCCACAAGGTCCCTTCCAACTCTGCTATTGTATTGTATTGTATTGTATTTTCAGCCAGATTTTCAGCCTCTTTTTTGAGGGAAAAAGGTGTGACTTATACTCCGAAAAATATGGTAATAAGCTCATGCTTCATAGAGAACAAAAAAGGTTGCTCAGGAATAAAGATGATAGCAAAATGCGACTCTACGCTGCTCAATTTATTTGCATCCAATCCCATCATGACCAACGCAACACCCAAACGTTTCATGCAGAATCAAAGAAAAATTAGTGTCATGGCTGTTAACTTACTGCCTGTTTTTGTTCTTCTTCCTATAGAGAATTGTAATTGGAACATGAGAGAAAAAGAAAAAAAAGAAAGGACAATTGTTATCTTGAAAATGCAAACACAGTTGAGTATTACAGGGAACACCAATGTGACCTAACACATAAAGACACAAGGGATAACAATAAAACACTGCCAGGCCCTGGGTTTTTTCTTGTCAGTGTCTCACACCTAGAGATTCATGGTCACATGAAAACACCAAGAGTTTTCCAAGTAAGACAATAGTCCATTTGAATCAAACTTTTTGCTCCCCCAATGATCAAACAAATGTTTATAAAGGGAAGTTCACAAATCAAATCTCAAACACAGTTGGTTTGTTTTATACCTTCTCCCTAACAATTGTTATTCAAGACAACTTGGTGTCATAGCTGAGATAATATATAGTATAATATATAACAAGTTGACATTGACCGCTTATCACAGGCAAATTTATTAATCTGATGAAGCAATCCATTTTAAAATTCCTTTCCAATCCTAATTCTAAGGGCCCTGAACCTTGATCTGAATAAATGATAAGAGAAAATCTTGTTGGTTCAGTAGAACATCCCCAAATTCTGTGAAAACATTTATGTTATTAATTCATTGGTCAAATGCAAACCACTCAAATAATTAAACATTCTCAGTCCATATGGTGAAAAGAAGCATAAAAAGAAATGTATTGTAATACTCCAAGACCCTCACACAAAAGAATCCATATTCTAATCCATTTGAGGACTATAATTTAAGTACTAAATTTAAGTATTTTTATAGATACAGTGGATCAGATTCAGGTGTTAGGAACTAAAATGTCCAGGAGTATGGAAGATAAAACCTGTGAGGAAATGCTGACAGAACATGGAAAAAAAGATGGTGTAGGGTCAGGACTGGGTTGACAAAATCACAAATGAGGTAATAAGACGCCTGGGAAAGCCAAGGGAAATCATCAAAGCCGTTAAAAAGCAAAAGTTAGAATTTTTTGGACATGTGGTGCGACACCAGAAAAATACGGCATCCTTCACTTAATCCTCCAGGGAAAGATTGAAGGCAAATGAGGTCCAGGCAGAAGAAGAACATCACGGCTTCAAAACCTAAGGGACTGGTTTGGACCAAACTCAGCAGCACTTTTTTATGTGTCTGTTGACAAAAATAGGATTGCCAACATGATCGCCAACGTCCGATGACAAATATGGCACAAGAAGAAGAAGGGTCAGGACAGGAGTCTTCAAAGATTTGGTAGAAAAAGAAGAAGAAAAAAAGAAGAGGGCATGGCTGTATTTAAAAACTTAAATTATAAGGGGAGATTTTGGATTTCAATCGGATTTTCTATCAGTAACAGCAAACCATCAATAAAATCAATTATGTACAGTAGGGCAGAAAAGCTCCGTCCCTAAAGCTGCATGCAGCTCTCAACCTAGTTTTGAAAGCCCTCTGCAAGCAATTAGTTCAGGTCTCTTGCAAAACAATCTATCCCTCCCCAAGCAGTCCCACTGGAAGAGGCATGGAGAGAAAAGATTATCCCACCCACGTTTGGCTCTGATCCCAGTCACTCCTAGCATGTAGCCCTCAATAGATTACACCAAGAGCCTTGGAGACAAAAAAAAATCTTCCTTAAGTTAGAAATGTAGGGCGAGTTCTTCCTCATAAGAGCCTTTTAGCAGATGCTGGGTAATCCTTCATTGAGATGACCTAGCTTTAGAGTTCCTGCATCAAGTAGAAACCTGGACTTTTTTTGGTCAGAAAGAAGCAATTAAAAATGGTGGCGGGGATGGAAACATAGCAAAAGCTGGAACAAGCAGTTTCACTCCCACTAACCAAAGACAAAATCTAGCCAAAGAGCCACCTCAGATCTATGCTATTCCTATAGGCTTCAGCAACTAAACTAGTTCATCTCAGAACACTGGCCAACACCTTTGGTGAAAGAGCACAAGTTTTGTATGCAGCAAATCCCAAATCCAATCCCTTCAACTATCAGATAAAAAGAGATCAGCCGACAAAGCATGCTGCAAGGACTGAAATAGAAGTTCACAACACAAATGGCCAATTAGCATTGCAGGGGCATTGGCCATAGGATGAATGCAGACATGATGTACCTTGAGCAGCTTCATGAGTCCTTCCAGTTGTACCATCAGTTCCCTTCGGCTTTCCTGAAGAGCAGACATTCGTTGTTCCAATTCATCTTTCCTTTGCCTGTTCAAGATTAATAAAAGGATAATTTCATTCGTTTGTTACCTTGCCCTTTCTGTTCTGATTATCACAGCTTCTGTAATCACAATCCTAAATTAATTTGGGAGAGGTTGGTTGATTACCGCAATAGCCTTAATTCGGCCAGTAAAGTTGGATTCTGCTGAGCTTTTTCAGGTGTTGGCTGGGAAGCCTGTTCGTGCTCCAGTCTGAGGCGTTGAATTTCTTGCAGTATTTCTCTAGAAAAATAAATGTGAAATTAGTTAAACACGATTCTTCTTTTTTACTCAAATGCCCTGGATGTGCTTTTTGGAGTTTGAAAGGGCCGGTTGATACTCCAAAGTTATACATTAATAGAGTCTAAACTGGTAGGGACTGACAAGGAAAAGGGTGTTGGACGCATGATTGAAGGCTTAATGAAAAGTCACTCTTGGTGGGCGTGGCCTGTTGCCGAGGAGGGCTCCACCGAGCTCCTCAGAGATCTGGTCTGT